TTGCGGCGCGTTGGCTTGATGAATAGACGCTCAGCTGCTCATCTGAGGTGATGCGTGTTGCAGTAGCGCCGTCATATCTGACTAACATGATTTTATTTTTTTTTTTTTTACTCACACATTTATTTTTTAGCATTTTTGTGGGGGAGTAAAATTTACATATGTGGTTTCAACAACCAGATCCATTTACACTTGTCCAGTTTCTTCTAGAATGCAGCCCAGACCTGCGTTCTCTCAAGTTACTTTGAATTGTTATATTATTTCACGATTGTGTAGTGTATTTGATATATCAAAAGCCCAAATGTAAACTAGATGGATTCTATTTTGAAAACCTCCCCCATTTGATAACATGCCGCAACAAGCAGTAACAGTGGAAATGTTTAATAAGATTGGGTAGTCATGACAACTCAAATATAATAACATCCAAACACAAATCTACTCTGAGACATTCTCTGGAGTAAAACATGTGGCAACTAGCCCTGGTCTCTCCTACGATCTTTCTCAAGTGAGTAAGCTTTTCTAATACACCACCAACACTTTGTGAAAAAAATAGATTTGTTTTCCAAAACTGCCCGCTTGCCGCAGGCACAATTTCATGGTTGATTCTTTGATAAGAAAGCGTCTATCAAAAATATAAATTCATGTGTGAGGTTACTCACCTGCCAACCAACAGGAACTCTCCAACTAGGCGGCGGCGTCTCATGGCCATGAGGATGCCACGCACGGTCATGCCCTCGCAGAAGCACGCCACCACACGAGCTTTGGGCAGGTGGCTTCTGAGCTTATCGAGAAGACGGTCAAAACTCTGTTCTCCAGCATTGCTGTAGATCTTGTCAGAGTGGGCGATACAGATGCCCTCCTTTGCTGCCATGTCTTTGAAGGCCTCCATTCCACTCTCACCATAGTTCCCTGAAGATTGAGAAATTGAATGATTTTTAAACTTGAAACACGTTCTGTATTAGATTATATTACAGTAGTGGCCAAAAGTGATGTCCAGAGGGGATATTTGTTTTAATGACATACAAGTTCTATGTAAACCATCAAAATAGAGGAAAATTTGATCATTTTAAAACATCTTAAATATGAGGGAAGAACAAAACTAAACTTTGGTTAAGGTACTGACTATATTATTTGACAAACTACTGCTGTCACATGGAATTAAGGAGGAAGACGAAGGAAGTGTGTGAACAGATAGCTTGCTACTTAAAGAGTTTATTTAACACAACAAAACCAGGAAGAGTTATCCAAACAAGAAAAAATCCAGGTCACAACAGCTTACACACATAGGGTAAGAGTACACCGAATACACTACAGAACAGACTGTGAGCTAAGAGAACTCAAAAAGAACCAGGTGTGTACCAATCTGTAACCATGACAACTAATGACTGATAGGAACAGGAAACAAAAAGGCAGCATATGAAAGCAAGGAAGGTAAACTTCCTTTACCATTAACTGAACAAACACAGTGACAAAACCATGGCTAGAAATGAAACAGAAGACAATGAAACTACTAAACATGACAGTAAGTGACAAACTGACTTCAACATAATCATCTATTAATATTTTGTTGGATCTCGAGTTTTTGCATGTGTTAATACTTTATTTGTGTGACAGCTCTGTGGAAGCTTGTTTCACAGAATGAAAAATAAAAAAAGGCAATTGCGATTTTTTTTTATCTTACAATTCTGACTTCATTTCTCAGAATTGCAAGATATAAAGTCAGAATTGCATGATATAAAGTCGTAATTGCGTGTTATAAAGTCAGAATTGCGAGATATAAATTCAGAGTTGCGTGATATAAAGTTGCAATTGCATGTTATAAAGTCAAAATTGTGAGATATAAAGTCAGAATTGCAAGATATAAAGTGGCAATTGCGTGTTATAAAGTCAAAATTGTGAGATATAAAGTCAGAATTGCAAGATATAAAGTCGAAATTGCGTGTTGTAAAGTTAGAATAGTGAGATATAAACTATTCTGGGGGGAAGGGGGGGGAGAAAGTTATTTTTTTCCTTTTAGAATTGGCCTGATAACTTGCAATTGTGAGTTTATATCTCACAATTCTGAGAAAACATAAACTCGCAATTATGTGTTATAAAGTCAGAATTGTGAGATGTAAACTCGCAATTTTGAGAAAAAAAATCAGAATTGTGAGATAAAAAGTCGCACTTTTTTTCACATACCTCGCAATTCTGACTTTGTATCTCGCACTTGGCCGGACATCACCTGTTGATATTATATTATATTGTATTGTATTGCATTAATTTATATTATATTATATTACATTATATTATATTATATTAATAAAAAAATAAATATATAAAATGCATCTATGTTGTGTTTATATTATATAAGTGTCTGTAAAATATATTATTTTATTTATTATATATTTTATATAATACTATATTAGCATTTTGATTAAACGTTTATTCAATAAAATATTTATATAAAATAATTCATTGTGTTTTTAATATAAAACAGCTTGAAATTGTACAGCTAGAATATAACTCTGTGACAGCAATAGATGTCACAAACATGTTGATTGGTGCACAAAACAATCAGGTTGAAGCTCAACCTGTCAAAATCATGCTGAAATGACTGTTAAAATCTTCAGGGGGGAAATGAGTCATAGGTGCTACTCACAGTTAAGAACAGCACAATGTTTCTCACATTTTATTCTCATCATTAGTTCTTCTGGTGTTTAGAAATAATATCTATCCTACTTCATCCTTATTACCAGCAAATAATGAGTGGACCAGTGGAGGAAAATGTGAGATTGTTTTTCAATAGAATATTGAACACTATTTTTAGAAATCATGGAAATGTAGATTTCTTATGAAATTAGAAATTACCCTTTCGAGCAGTTTGCTCTATTGAACAAAAAGTAATGTATGTCAGATTTACTGTTCTGTGTTCTGTGCTTTGCTTCCCGTATATATTTAGTACGAACATAAATAGATTTCACTTTTTCATGCTTAGAAAAACTAATGAAAAACAGGCCATGGTGCCCCTCTTTCACAAAGCGTCAGGGGTAAACTCCCCCAATTTACATAAAAAATAGGTCACCTACTTTTGTGTGAGGAATGTTCCCAGTCTTCACGCATTTTATGAGGTGCGAATTTGATACAACTGCAGAGATGGCTTGATAAAAAGCAAACACACCGCTTAAATTCTCTGCTAGTGATACACTGGACTGGTCTGGACTTGTAACCAAAAGGTTGCAGGTTCAAATTTTGCAGGGGTGTTATGTGAACTGTGAAGTCACTGAGATGCCCTATCACCACTGCATCCCAAAGGAAAGCATTTAACCCCAGTTTGCTATTAGCATTCCAGCGAGTATGCTGTGTTTGTCAAGGGGAAAACTCTCAAGGAACTGTACCAATAGGAACTGTACTGTTACGCAGAACATTTTAGTGTTCCCATTAAAGGAGTAGTTCACTTTTAAAAAAACTTTCGCTGATAATTTACTCACCCCCATGTCATCCAAGATGTCCACGTCTTTCTTTCTTCAGTTGAAAAGAAATGAAGGTTTTTGATGAAAACATTCCAGGATTTTCTCCATATAGGCGAGCATTTGTGCTTATAAAACAAAATTTGTGCATTTTGAAATGATCGATAGTTTCGCTAGATTAGACACTTATTCATCGTCTGGTGTCGTTTAAAGCCCTTTGAAGCTGCGCTGAAACTCTCATTTGGACCTTGAACCGTTTGGTTCCCATTGAAGTCCATTATATGGAGAAAATCCTGGAATGTTTTCATCAAAAACCTTCATTTCTTTTCGACTATAGAAAGAAAGCCATTTACATCTTGGATGACATGGGGGTGAGTAAATTATCACCAAAAGTGAACTACTCCATTAATAATGTCTCATTATATTAATAATGTACACTGCCATTCAAATACTTGGGGCTAGCAAGATTTAAAAATAAAAGAAATTAATACTTCATTGATTAAAAGTAACAGTAAAGCCAATTATAATGTTTTGTTGTATTGTTATACATTGCTATTTCAAATCAATGCTGTTCTTTAAAAAAATCTGTTCATCAATGGATCATGGTTTCCACAAAATATTATTTTTTTAAGTGTTTTGCCAATCAGCATATTTGAATGATTTCTGAAAAGATTTAGAGTTATGTGACACTGAAGACTGGAGTAATGATACTTTGCCATCACAGGAATAAATTACATTATTACAAATACAATATTACTGTTTTATTATACTAAATAAATGCAGAGAATAAAGAATCTTAGCAACCCCAAAGTATAGTGTCTGTATGATAAAATGTGAAATATTAGTTATTGTTGTAACACTTTAACTAGCTTTAAATATTGTTTTGTAATCGTTTAACTAACAACGGTCAATTAATGACAAATTCCTCCAGGAAATGAAACAACAAAAACAACAACGCAAGCATCAGTATGTATTAGTAATGGATTTTTTTGTGGTTTGCTAAAATTGCAAAAATCAGTATGATGATATCTACATTTGAAATAATAAAAACAAGTGAATGATCTCTCAATCCCTCACTGAGCAATGAAAGGTTATTTAGCACCAGACTTCCTGTTCACTTTAATGCCACTGTGTAAAAATGATCACGGTATAAGTGTGTCACCCATGTATAACGTCATGACTATCAAATGCATCTCATCCCTCTGATGATTTACATTTGAGAAATTCACTTCCAAATGCGCATGATTCCATCTCTAATCTCTCTCCCCAGGGAGGGACTTCTTCAAATCTTTCGCTCAATTACTCTGTGCCAGTTGGGTGAATTAATTCTCTTGCTGTGTTCAAACTTCACTAGAACTTTCTGTCTCAGATGGATGGATGTCTAACAAAAAAAAAAAAATCTGAGTTACATAATATTTTCCAGGCATTTCACCGATAAAGATCAGAAATCAAGTGGTCTCAAAATCCAATTGGTTGGTCACAAGAAGCAATAACAAATGTGGCTAAAATGAACTCTGCACACCGTAACAGATATTTTGATGACCTCAACTGTCTCTTTCCCTCCTACAGAGAGACTGACACTGCAGACAAGTCTTTAAACAGTGTGTTCATTCACACAGGAAAATTCATTAAACGCCCACAGACAGTGAAAACAGAGCTAAAGATGTAAATGATCATCATGGTCGCCTTTCAGTTAATGATTTCTGCGTGTTCTGTGATCTGTCATGAGGCCAAAAAAAGGACAAAACAAAAGCACAGCAGCAACACAATACGTTTGTGTGGCTATTAACCATTCATTGTGTGTACGCTGTGTGCAGACATCAAAGACGCTCTTGAACATGATGAAACGATAGATAGACAAATCATGATTCTGCTTGGCACATCATTTTGCACATCAATAAACCTCCAGTAAATGACCTTTTTTAAAGTAAAAAATACAGTAAATTTCACTATTATACACGAAGCTTTCATTACTGCTAAAAACGCATTTGTCAAAACCATCACACCTTAAACACAAAACCAAATCTTCAAACTATTTTCAGAGAACATCTGACTCTTCTGACAAAATCATACATTTGCCTACACATGAGCTCAACAAATTACAATTACAAATGTCAAAGTATAATATAATAAAAAAAAGGAGCTACAGGATATGTAAGCAAATGAATCAACATCATGGAGCTTTTCACAGCTCCCTGTTCTGTATGTGGGTGAAAACTGTGGTGGGCTCCACATTTAACCACCCGCTGGCAATTAACACCTGTCTGTGAGGTCATCAGTCTTCCAGCCAATCTGCTTGAGTTTGTAATATACAGTAAAAAAGCTAAAAGAATAAAACTGGGCAACGATAAACCGTGATTAACTGCATCCAAAATAAAAGTTTGAGTTTACATAATATATGTGTGTGTACTGTGCATAATAATTTTGTATATATAAATACACACATATGCGTGTATATATTTAATAAATATTCGCATGTATATTGTAAAAAAATGTGGTTGGTTTAACTTAAAAATGTAAGTTGATTGAACTGAAAAAAGTGAGTTAATACAATGAAGCAGATTGATTTAATCATCAGAAACTCAAAATAATAAGTTATCTGAACTAAATAAATTATTATGTTGATTTGACAAAAGAAAAAATGTTGTGATAACAAATCTTGAAAATATTTTATTACAGTGTACTGTATATTTATACATACTTTATATTACATGTAAAATATAAATATTTTATATATAAATAACACATTTGTCTTAAATATAGGCCTACATCATGCATATGTGTGTATTTAAATACAAAAAATAAGTATACACAGTACACACATACACAAGTAAACCATTCCACAACATAGGGCCAGCAACTGAGAAAGCACATTGTAAAAGTGTAAAACTGAATATTATTAATGATAAAACTAAATGATAGCCTGTAAGTTGTGAGTTATTTCTAATCTGGTGTTGATGGAATCAACTTGGAATGGTTTACACATATTATGTAAACACAAACTTTTATTTTGGATGCATTTAATGGTGGTTTATTGTTGCCATTACTACTATATAGTTATATTAAAATAAATAAACAAAATTACAAGAGCACCCAACCAAATTACTAAAACTTTAACTAAAATTACAAAACAAAACTAAATAAAAATAAAAAATCATTCAAAATATTAATAAAAAAACAATTTAGAGTTTGACTTAGTGCAGTTAAAGGGTTAGTTCACCCAAAAATGAAAATTAAGTCATTAATTACTCACCCCCATGCTGTACCAACCCGTAAGACCTTCGTTCGTCTTCAGAACACAAATGAAGATATTTTTGATTAAATTTGAGAGCTGTATCACAACCACATAGGCACCCTAAGGGACTGAAACTTGACGGCCCAGAAAGTCAATGAAGAAAATGTCAGACGAGAGTTCGAGAGATTTCCATGACGCATGCGCGAGGACTGAACGAGAAGTAGTAGAAAAATAACGTAGTTCTCGCGCATGCCTCGTGGAAATCTCATGAACTCTCGTCTCAGGCCCAGAAGGAAGAAAAGGAATAGTCGAATAAAGTCGTTATTTTTGTTTGTTTTTTTGCACAAAAAGTATTCTCGTCGCTTGATAAACTTATAGTTGAGCCACTGTAGTCACATGGAATATTTAAACATTTTCTTCAATGACTTTCTGGGCCGTCAAGTTTCAATCCCTTAAGGAGCCTATGTAGGAGTGATTTAATCAAAAATATCTTCATTTGTGTTCCGAAGACGAACGAAGGTCTTACGGGGTTGGTACAGCATGAGGGTGAGTAATTAATGACTTAATTTTCATTTTTGGGTGAACTAACTCTTTAAATCTTTTCAAAGTACAATTGAATAAAAAAGCACTAAAAAATTATGAACAAATTCCTAGATCTTGACTATATGTTGCACATTCTGCATCCAGTCATACACACTTTATAAAGACTGTGATGTGTCATTTCCCTCTATGAATAATAAAGAGATTTATTAGGCCTAGATAAAGGTGAACCACAACAGATAGAGTGACACATTATAATTATCACCTAAAAAAAATTCCTCTGGAAATCTATCACTTTGAGAATGTGGAAGATTTAGTACTTTAAATAATAGTGTTACATGCTGGTGGAGATCTGGTCAAAAGAAAGAGTTTCAGGGCAGATTCTGTTGGTGTTGGAAAATCTCACGATAACCGAGAAGAAAGCCGCTTCCCTTCGGAGAGAGAGAGAGAGAGAGATCACGTACCTTCAGTGTGAATGGCAGATACGTAGGTCCAGTTGTAACGTTTGACGATGTCCACCATCGCTCTGGCTTGCTGGGCGTCGGAGGGCACCACCCTCATGAAGTACTTGTACAAAGACTTATCGCTGAGATCCATACTGGTAGCCGAATACGCAATCTGGGGAATGTTGAACAGCTGAAGGAGATTCTGAACCTGGATGGCCACAGAACTGGACCCAGGCCCGATCAGCCCCACGATGGGCTTCTTCCCTTTCATGGGAGTCCCTCCATCTTCAGTCAAACACTTGGTCATGCCCTCCTCCTCCTCGGCCGAGACCAGGGTGTCACGGATGAACTCTATGCTCTGCTCCAGAGCCACGGCCGAATGCCAGCAGGAGTCTCTGATCTCGCAGCCCAGCGTGATGTTGGGTAGGATGTGTGGGTCCGCGTTGATGCGGTCCAGGGTGTGCATCATGGCCTCCACCCGCTGGATGCCGTACTGCTCCCGTACGGCACCGCACTTGCGCTCGTGGACCTTGTCGGCTGGCGGCTGGTGGTGGACGGAGAAGAGCGCCCCGATGATGATGTCGCCGGGGATGTGGGCCAAGACGCGTCGCTCGCTGGCCTGGGCCTTGGCTAAATTATCCGGCCGCGTGGGACCCAATCTGTCTCCGATCAGCACAAACAACAGCAAATGTAAAATCCCCATTTCCTCGGCCCTCTCGGATCAGAGTGTGGAATACGAGTAGTTCCTCAGGGCATCTGAAAGAGTCACAAGAAGCAGAAATCTTCAGAGCTATGTCCCTAGAGATCATCAACCTCCCACTGAATCACAGAGGTGCATATTTGTGAGAGTCGTGATAAGGATGAGCTGTCGCCAGGGCAACGTCTTATTCTAAAGAGTGAGGATTTTTCTGCCTTCCTCTAAATATCTCGAGATCAGGAGGAAAACAAAGTTGAAACGCACATGAAGAAGTTGGTGAAATGTGCTTATTCCAGTCAGATCTCAGTAATGGGATGCATCATTAATACCTGTTAGAAACAATAAGCATGACAATTCTTAAAAGATGTATTGATTCAGATTCATGTATTCATAACCTCAGAGATTTTCCAAAACACTGAGGCCCAGAAGATGATGATCTTATGCAGATTTGCAGCCACTGAATATTTATATTTCTTTACCCTTTACCTCATTTTCATTACTCTAAATGAATTATTAATTTCATTAAAAAGGAGTTAGACAGCTTAGAGAGATAAATACAGAATTCCCCAGAATAATTGTTGGTTACTTATAAGCCAGCCATTATATCATATATATAGCTTACAGGATCTGAGGGCAATATCTCATACTTTTACAGATCACATGGAGGAGAAATCATACCAAATGACGTCACGTCAAGAAAACACGGGAGAGGGATGTATCCTATACTTTTTGTTTGACTGATAGGAGCCCACTGTGTGAACAGAACCCCATGTATACTTAATAAGATTGATCCTTCATACTGTGTCCATATTGCTACTGCATGTTTTGCGCTCGAACTTCAAAGGAACTGCGATGCATTTTTAAACAGCCAGGACTGGACAGTAGCATATCTTTATAAGTTTTACAAAACGACAGGACACATTCCTTTAACACAACAGTAACTCAATAGTACAAATAACTGCCAACAGTAACTCAATAGTACAAATCCATACTGTGTAGACAGTTTGCTAATGGATGAACGGATTCTTTTTTCTTTGTTGTAGCTGTTGTACATTATTTTGTTCATTTGATAGTACATTTTTAAAAGACACTAAACATTAGCAAGATATTACTTAATTGGTTGATTGATTAATTAAGTGTCAGACTCAAAAGTTACATGATCCCATTCGCTGTTGTCTGAGCTGTCCATGGTGCTGAAATACAGTCTGGCGCATCAACCATAATCCAGTGAATCTGAATCTGTGTATGGCAATGAAAATAGCACTTCATATGTTGCCAATGCCATAACATTTAATTTACAACTTACATGAAGAACTCACTAAGGAAGCACATGACCGTTGAAATAACCAGAAATACATGAACTTAAGCGTGAGGCATTAGATTGAAAAGTGTTAAAATACCAACGCTAATGGTTATAAAAACACCAGTGATAATGAAACTTACCGTTCGGTCGTTGTTTTGGTCCCAAAGCTCGTGTTCTTCTCACAATCGGAGTGTCTCTGGGTGTATAAGCGCGTGCGATGCGCGTTCACTTCAGCAACAACTCTCGCGCGCGTCACGTGACATATATTTTTCTAAATATTTACATCTTGTTCTAACAGTCCATGAAGATGAAAACCATACAGAAGTTACATACTCGCAGTCATCTGTTTGTGTAAGAAAAGGCTAAAAAAAAATTTAACTTAAAAAAAAAAATAAAATAAAAAAAAATTGTCAGGTGTTCTTTTATTTCGTATACCCATAAACGTCTCTGTTTAAAAAAAAACTAAAGAGGTATTTAATGTCCATTATTTTAAGGCTCATCTTTTTATTAACATCTTGGTGGGGGTAAGCTAAATATTTTTTTTAATTAAAAGTCATTATAAAAAATTGTAAAGGTTCAAGAATCTGGTCATTCATTGACTAGAAACCGTTTTTTTTTTATTTGAATTGTTCTATTAAATATGTATTGCAGGACTAATGCAGAGCTTTGACCACTTGCCTTAGTCATACGGGCACAGCGCCATCATCTGGTAACTCAAAAAATATATATCATTTATCGTATGTCAGTGCTGTTTATAAACTTTTGCTTTTACAATCCCATCACTTAATTACCAACTATCAACACCAGATCATAACTCACAACATACAGGGTGTCATTTAGTTTTATAATTAATATTATTCAGTTGCACACTTTTGCAATGTGCTTTCTCAGTTGCTGGCCCTATGTTGTGGAATGGTTTACTTGTGTCTATCAGATCCTCTAGCTCTGTAAACATGTTTAAAACATGTCTCAAGACGTATTTGTTTGATGAGGCATTTGTCACTTTGTAAGGACCAATAGGTTTGGATTAGATGCATTTGTGGTGTTTGTTTATTATTGATATATATATATATATATATATATATATATATATATATATATATATATATATATTTCTCTAGTACGATTTTTTTTTTTTTTTTTTTTTTACTTCATCCTTATAAAATCTATACTGCACTTTGGTGCACTGTGACACTTTAAAAATTCATTTAGATGTGATTTGATTCACTTTTAATCTAAACAACAGACTAACCAAGTAGCTCGTTTTAACGAGGAAGTTTTGACAGTTCTGTGGTTGTGTCCAGTCTATCTGATATTGTTTTGCTGTACAGAAGAGAGAAGTTTGAGTAAGACAAATAAGAAATGTTAAATGTACCTCTTTATTTTACTACATATATTCCAATATAATAATACAATTCATATTAATTTGAACCCTTGGTTGGGGAATTAGATCACATCCATAACTATGCTATACAGGCCTACAGTTATAGCAATAAAACATTTAATTGTAAAATATGTAATGCTTTCAAATGAGTTTTTTCTGGAGCAAGTGACACTATGAAGTTGAGGTATCAGATGTTTTATATTAAAATATATTAAAATTTTATATTAATATTATTTATTATAAAATAAAATGTAATGCCTTTTAAAAAAGGACATTCATTCAAAAATACAGCAGCACTAGCAAATACAGCTTTTCTGTGTCTTGTTATATCACCATTGGCCTCTAGATGGCAATAACATACTTGTTTCACAGGCACACATTTCAAAAGCTTCAAAATCATATTTTTTATTAGGCTGTGGCATTCGTTGTTAATTGATTGAATTAATTATTATACTGTTGTTGTTCACGTGATCTAAAACGTGAAATAATATCTAATACACAGCAAACAAAGGGCGAATTCTCTTATTTGAGGTGTGTCTCAAATAAATAAATTGATATCACCTGATTCTAATTGTGCGTGTCTATTTAATGCTCTTTGCAGCTGGTTAAAATTGTATTGCAGTTGAGTCTAGCACTGAGAGATCTGTTTTGTACACAAACTCACACTGTCAGTTCTGCTTTAGCAGTTATTGTCACGTTTGATCTTAAAACCTCTTGTTGAATTTTGTTAGGAGTGATTTGCCCCTGGATAGTGCATTGGGTGTCAAAATGCCTACAGAAAACCTGTCTGATAAACGCATGTCTAAGTTCAAAAATAAGGGCAAGGAGCCAACGGTGAGCTGTGCATCCATTCTGGCTATTTTTTTTTCCACCTTCAACTGTTCGCTCCTTAATCTTTTGATGGATTCACACACCCTATCTCTGCTTGCAGAAAATGCGTGACCGCAGAATCGCCGAATGTGTTGAGCTTCGAAAAGCTCAAAGGGTTGAAAGTATTCTGAAGAGGAGAAATATTTCATCCTTGGGAGATGAGGAACCTCAATCACCAGAGTTTAACATTGACAACGAACAGGTATTTACAACTTCTGTCTTCAGTTAAAACGCACGTTTTTACAGTACTCCTGCCTGCATCTCACTGCTTTCATCTTGTTAAGGTCATATCTGCAACGATTCAAGAGATTGTTGCAAGTGTGAACTCTAACTGCCCAGAGATGCAGAGACAAGGTTGTCAAACAGCTAGGTACAGTAATCTTAAATCTTAACTTAACTAGCAATCATCTCTAATCATGTTACAGAGCATTATAAACCTTCAAATTGATCTCTACAGGAAGCTGCTTTCCCGGGAGAGGAACCCTCCCCTTAAAGAGATCGTTGAAGCAGGACTCCTGACTCGCTTTGTGGAGTTTCTAGGGAGGAATGATGACCCTACGCTGCAGTTTGAGGCTGCCTGGTCTCTTACTAATATTGCATCTGGCACTTCTTGGCACACAAAGCAAGTGGTAGAGCATGGAGCGGTACCAGCCTTCATCTCCCTGCTGGCTTCACCAATGCTGAACATCAGTGAGCAGGCTGTCTGGGCTTTAGGCAACATTGCAGGTGAGAATACTTTGAGCTTCGGGGGGCCTCTACATCCTAAAAGAACATGGGAGTTGAACACGTGCTCTAGCCTGGCATGTCAGACCTACATCAAGATGTTAGGTCTGGGAACTCCTCATTGACCGGGCTCGATCCGAGGAGCGTGATAAACGGTTGTCTTTCAAATTCTCTCTGCACGCAATTGGAAAGGTACAACCAATCAGAACAACAAAGGTGACGACTGACTGAGTCCCATGTGTTTTCCCACCAGTGGAGCAAGTTGATATTAAACTTTTACTGTATCCAGTTGGCAAAACACTTTTTTCCGAACACTTTTTTTTTTTTAAAATGACTCAAGTGCCGTTCTTTCTTCTGGTTTCAACGTAAAGCTTCAGTTCAAATCATCCAGAGTAGCGGTCAAAGCCAAATCGAAAGACGGTTGTTCGCCAGCAGCAGTCATTCTCTGTTTTCAAGTAGCAGTGAACCGTCGCAACTCTGTCATTATGTCAAGCCTGCGCGCCAACTCTATGTACAATGATTGGCCTGACCAGAGTTTGGTTTTTCCAGCTGAAACACTTATGGAGAGTTGCTAGACCACACTGGCTGCGAAATAATTTTTGCTGCCGCTAGGGTGCGTCTAGATTTCAAGGCTACACTTGCACTATAATGCTTGCTGGATCTTGGGTATTTATTTGAAAAAGTTGCTAGCTGTACTATGAAGTTTTGGAAACATTTGCCACAGTGTTCATTCTTCCATTTTAGGTGATGGTCCATCTTATCGAGATGCCTTGATTGACTGTGGCGTAATCCCGGTGTTGTTGGCACGCATCACACCAGATGCTCCTGTGAGTTTCTTCTGTACTTCCGATATCTCTGAAAAGGCAACTGTTAAACATGCAGAATGTGTTAACCACAAAAATGTTTCGCAGGTGGGATACCTTCGCAACCTCACATGGACCCTGTCGAACCTTTGTAGGAACAAGAACCCCTTCCCTCGTTTCAGTGCTGTCCAACAAATGCTCCCCTCCATAATCCAACTGCTCCACCACAGTGACAAATCCGTCCTGTCTGATGCATGCTGGGCTATTTCGTACCTCACTGATGGACCCAATGAACGAATTGATGTAGTCATCAAGACTGGAATTCTTCCACGGTTGGTTGAGCTGTTGGGCTTTGAGGAACTCTCTGTGGTGGTAAGTACTGTATTCTAGTGTTTTTACCTTTTTGTTCATGTTTTGTTCAAGATTTTCACCAATATTCTCTAGACACCAGCCCTACGGTCAATTGGGAACATTGTCAGCGGTTCAGACCAGCAGACTCAAGCGGCCATTGATGGAGGCGTGTTGAGTGCCTTGCCCCAGCTGATGCGACACCCTAAGTCCAGTGTTCAGAAGGAGGCAGCTTGGGCAGTGTCCAACATTGCAGCTGGACCCTGCCAACAGATTCAACAGCTCATCACGTGTGGATTGTTGGCTCCTCTGGTGGATCTTCTAAGGAATGTATGTCATAACAGTCTTTTGAGTTTCCTTCCCCCACAGTTGCCTATAAAACGTTCTTTAACATGATTGCATGCTTCTCCTAAAGCTGGGCATAAAATGAGGCCAATTATACAAGTAGTCACTCCCGAGGCCCTTTGAAATGTGGTTTCTTTTCCATTTGGGAAAAGTATACTGTAACATGTGTTGTCAAATCTCTGGAGTACTTGTATGGAAAGGACAGAGTTGTACAAGTAAATGGTAACAATGAATGTCTTGTCAAGAACTTCTGTTTTTAATGTTTGTGGTTCTGAATTTACTTTAACCAAAACCTTTTTGGGCTGCAGTGGTAGTCTAATTTTTGTATTTGTTCACCAATACTTCTATTCTAACTGGTATTCATAAATGGATCTCTAATTCGGAGATACAATGGGTTACAAACAAAGCATTTGACACTTTGGGAATACTTTCACTCTTTGTTTTGCAGGGTGATTTCAAAACCCAGCGAGAGGCAGTATGGGCAGTGACTAACTACACAAGTGGTGGAACTGTAGATCAAGTTGTTCATCTGGTCAAGTGTGGTGGTTTAGAAGCCATCTTGAACTTGCTTCAAGTTAAAGACACGAAGACGGTCCTGGTCATCCTGGATGCCATAAATAACATTTTCTTGGTGAGTTCACTGTTTGTGAAATCTGCAACTCCCAGTGCTTGCATTGAGATGCTAAAATATCAATTCTGTACCTTCTGCAGGCTGCTGAGAAACTTGGTGAGGTGGATAAGCTTTGTTTGTTGGTGGAGGAGGTGGGAGGGCTGGATCGAATTGAATTTCTTCAAAACCATGAGAACAATACTGTTTATAGAGCAGCTCAAGCTCTTATAGAAAAGTATTTCAGTGAGGTGGGTGTTTCCGATTCACTTAGTTTCTTGTCAAGTGTTTTCATTGCGACGAACTTTTCCATCAAATCCATTCACTTTTTTTTTTTTTTACCCTCTGACATCTTCCCACGGCGCTCTCCTTGACTGAATCAGGATGGTGAAGATCAGTGCCTGACGACAGAAGCCACAGACGCAAACTTTGTCTTTGGAGCATCTGAGGTCCAAAAAAGATTTGACTTTTGATATAAATATTTTTAAAAGCTTCAATTGAATAAAGTACTTTTTTTGCAGCATATTCTGGCTTATTTTTCTTGATTTTCAGGGGAATCTTTTCATGAAAGATCGTGCTTGCAAGGTAACAGTTTTATTTATTTATTTTTTTGTAGTAAACCCCACCAGAGCCACTTAATGTCTTGTTTGGTGTTGGTAATGGCTGTTACCCACTGTAACATTGGCTTTGCGCCATAGTGACTGGTCTTAGTTTTACACCATAAAGTGCACAAATTTCCCCAGGAACACCTAAATTTATAAAATATAGATATTAACGTGCTTGACGCTAGACAATGATTCAAATCAAACTTTCGATACTTGAGCAGCTTTTGTGGTTTGGAAAAATTGATTTACTCCCCGGTAACACGGATTAATCCCTTAAACAAAAAGGAACAGGTGTCTTTAAATTGTCATTGTAACCGTTTCACAGCATTTACAATTTTGAATACCAAGCAACTAACGTAAATCAAGAAAGCTAGTATGCATGGGCCACGAAGTATTTGCAAAAAAACACATTAGTGGACTGGAGGTAATATAATTTTTTATTTTTTTTTTTTTTTTAGAAAATGTATTTTCAAGGCCATGTATGTTTGTTTTCAAAAACTTTCCAGGGCCTTTTTTTTTCTCTCCTTTTTCTCAGATTCACAAACTCATTAGCAATTGTGAACTTACTCAAACCAATATTAATGAATGCATCTTTAATGACTATTCGTATGGAAGCTTGTTTCCGCCACTGAACATAAAAATAAAATAATTGACTTTCTCCCAATTCTGACTTTATATCACGCAATTTTGACTTCATATCTCGCAATTCAGATTTCATTTCACGCAATTCAGACTTTATATCTCGCAATTCAGACTTTATATCTCGCAATTCAGACTTTATATCTCGCAATTCAGACTTTATATCTCGCAATTCAGACTTTATATCTCGCAATTCAGACTTTATATCTCGCAATTCTCACTTTATATCTCGCAATTGCGACTTTATATCAAGCAATTCTGACTTTATATCTCGCAATTGCGACTTTATATCACGCAACTCTGACTTTAAGTAAACTCGCAATTGTGAGTCAGAATTGTGAGATAAAAAGTTGCAATCACCTTTTATATTTTTCATTCTATGGTGGAAACAAGCTTCCATACTATTTGCTTCAGCCAAAAAAAAAAATGGAATGAGGAAACACTCCAAGTTTGGACAAATTTTGGTATGAATCAATATAACCTATTCACAGAATAACTGTGTGAGCTTTCTTAAAAAACAAACAAAAACTCTTAACAAGCTTTGTACAATAAATTTATAATGTGACCTTGGACAAAGATTTGAGAATTGACATAACATTCATGCTTCATTATACATCAAACCATGGAATCAGATAAAAATGATTCCCACTCAGAGCTAAGAATATTGGTCTTCTTACAGTCTCTTCATTTAATCATCACACTCATCCTCACTATCAACATCTTTTTCTTTCTCTTTATCCTTTGGAGGAGGTGGAAGATCCAGCCGGGCCCATGACATTGGCTCTGCCTTCTTCAACAAAACCTCAATTTTGGTAGCCATCATGTTCACCAAACTTTTACTTGCATTGATCACCTTAGGGAAAAGCAAAAAGACAATATAAAAAAAAAAAAATTAAAGTGGTGCTGACGTTCATATTAGCACCACTTTAATCCACAGCGAGCCTCAATCACTTTCCAGAACATTCTCATTCACAGTACCATGCTGGTGGAATGATCTCCCCACCCTAATCCAGAATGCAGAATCCCTCGGCATTTAAAAGACATCTGAAAACTCTTCTTCCGTGAGCATTTAACATAACTCAAAAAAAATCCTTTTCTTTTAAATTCCTGCTTATCTGGCTTATGCTACCCCATGCAATGTCTGAACTTTGTATTTTGAGCACTTGCGTTGTTTTTGCCTCACTTGGTTTAGCCCTCAGTTGTACAGTAAGTCGCTTTGGATAAAAGCGTCTGCTAAATTACTAAATGTAAATATTAATGCAATAAACCTCATGGTTTACAATCATTTTAGAACAGTTAAGTGATGTTAGGCATGATTTGGAATAAAATATTGTGAAATTACAATAATTTTTAATATATAAAGACAACTTTGGGATACCCTTTTTTTATTCTATCCAGTAACACTACTGCCACAAAATGTATTCACTTCAAGCTTTAATGAAAAAAGTTTGATAAAAGTACTTTACAACTGAATACTCACCCCCCACAAATTGATCTGCTGTTCAAATTCTTTCTCTCCTTCAAATATAATGTGGATTTTGAGCTGCAAGAACAAAAAAAAAAAAATATAGCCTTATTTGGAAAATTTCAACTACCAGTATACAGAATTTTGAAAATAATTTAGCCTTGATGACTTACAACAGTACTGTTCCCCTCCACCGAGCTCAGCTCAGGTATTGAATTTTTGGCATAAATGGAAATGATGACCTGACTTCCTGTTTGGTGCCAATCAAACTTGCATGGTACAACCTTTTTTCCCTATACACAAATATATATAAAAAAAGTCATCCTCAACTTAAAACAAGATTCACATGTAAATGTATTCAATAATTTGGTCAAAGTTGCATTTGAGCCTGCTAGAGCTGCACAGTGTTGTTACACTGTTTTATTGGAGTGTATGTAAAAATGCAGCATCATTGCCATCTACAAAATAATAAGAAAAAGTAATAAAGTTCTTTGACATTTAAATCTCACGGTAGGCACTTACTGTATCTTTCATATTCCACTGATGCTTTCCTCGGGTACATCCCTCCAGGGACAGAAACGTGTTGAAGTCTGAGGTTTTCCTTTTACAGCAGGTCCAATATTTCATCCTTTTATGAGGAAAGATAAAAAAAGACTTAGAGGCAGTTTACATGGCACGGTTTTCAAGCAAACCCGGAAAACATTTTATGCATTTTGGCCGTTCATTTACATGACAACTGCATTTCGGGGGCCTGAAAACACAAACTTTTGAAAACGGGTTTCAAAGTGTACGTTTTTGAAAACGTTACCTTTATCGTCTCCTTGTACACGACAAAAACATGAAAACGGTGACGTCATGTGCATTTCGTGTTCAGTCTATAGGCGCGTAGTGTTTCTTTACAAAGTGACATGGCAACATAATTCAGTGGTTTTAGTCGTTTTTGCGTATCCGTGTGAATAGGGAACACAGACATATCTGAGGTTTCTCCATCTACACTTTTCTAGTAGTCATTTTCAGTTTTGATTGAATGCTAATTTACCCTTCATGGAAGATAGGTACACCAGCATGATACAAACACGTCTCGTCATCACTGGCTTGTCCGCTGAATGTCTTAAAAACAAAAGATTGAGAATCCATTGTTTATATGATGAACTAAAGAAACGTTATGTGCCATGGTTTCTAATCGGTGAAGCAGAGTGTGAGTGCGAACAGTACCTTATTGCAGCCTCCATTCTTACAGGACGTCCCTATCTTAATTTCATCACTATCCTCCTCTATAATACAAGAAAGAAAATAAAATGCATCAGATTAGAAGCCAAATATAGACAGGTAGGGAAAAAGAGGGTTTGGCTTTTCTTACCTTTTATCTCCTGTGCATTTTCTTCAGATATTTTGAGCTTTTCTAAAGCTTGTTTGAGCGAAGGAGAGATCTTCTGTTGTAGGATAGAGAAAGGCTCATCTGGACTAAAAAGATAATTAAAAATGGATGTTTTCAGTCATTTATCCTTATGAAGTTCTAACATCTATGTGGGTTTTGGGTGGGTGGACTGTTAATGAGAAGAACCTTTTCTCTATAGTAGATTTAATGCTGCATTACTTTATCTTCTGAAAATCTGAACTAATGAGCTGGAAAATACAAATGGGGAAGACCCTGTCCTTTCCAAGTGTGTTTTTACCTTGGTCGCTGAATAGACTCCAGTGGTTTTGGTGCTTGAGTGATGCATTCATCACATTTTGGCTTCACGTCATTGACGTTCTTGTCCGCAGAGGACTTTACCTCTGGTTTAACAGGCTCAGAGGGCTTCTCCTGATTGTGAGGGCCTTTCGTGCAACCCTAAGAGATTCATAAAGACAGACAAACATTTCAAGACTTAGCCATTTCAATATAATTAAATATTTATAATTTATATGAGCAAATACACAACTCTGAAAATGAACAGTCTTATTACAGATGAGTTGCAGCACTCACAGCAATACTGAGGAAGTCTGAAAAATCAGTTGTTCGTCTCTTGCAGCAAGACCAACCCTGGAAAGCAATGCAAGACACAATTTAATAGGTTTAACACTGAGTAACAGTGACATATTTCCCACAAAAAGCCTAAGTAAACTAATCTTTTTGAATGTCCACACCTTTAATGCATCATGAAACACTGGCACTCCAGGGTGGTATGTGCATGAATCTATGGATAAGAAGAGATTGATTAAGAAATGTGACGTCACAGGAATATAATCAGGTGTCTATATATTATGTTCACAACGTTGTGCAGGCAGCTAGTTAGTTTGCTAGTTACTCCACCAACTGCTCAACTGCAGGATATTTCGTTAAGACGTTTATATAACTCGCTTGTATTGTAGATATCTATAAAACAAATATTAATTTACGAAGTCTGTAATATTGATTGAACATCATTCAAACGTTAATGACCAGCTTCATTGTAGATGCTTTACTACATTAACATGCTAAATAACGTTCAAATAAAATTAATAGGTGATTCTTTTTAGAGGCGGTCATGTTTTGTTAATAATATATGTATATGAATAAATGTTGTTAAACACAAGTGGTTTTCTTTCCAAATGTAACGTTACCCTGTACAATAACAGTCATAACAATGTAGCTATCGTTTGTTATTTAAAGTCTTACCATCCGAATTCTTGTCGGGGTCAAAACGTTGTCCACATCCTTTATTATAACACAGTACAGACATAATGTTGGACAAAAATTCAGAAGTATGTTGTACAACGTGGTCAAAAGGGAATGGTCCGAAGTCTTTACTAGCTAGCTGCGGCTGCTTCCCGTCGTGAAGTCCTCTTCCGGAATCTTTCGTGAATTTCCGCAAGTTGCCGTTCAGAGCTTCGGCTCCAATCGTGTATTTTCGGTATGTTTCGGAACTGGAATTGATGGCTCACAGAGTGGGAGATGAGATGCACCGCAAACTGAGTTTAAAAACACAGACAAAACTGTGAATGAAAACGAACCTTGTTTAGTACTATTTCACTCTGTCACATGAAATTAATGCATTTGTTTATTTTGTTGCATACCATGAACATATAATAACAAAATAACAATAAATAGTTTGTAGCGATATTTTAAAGAACACAAATTGTTTTGTGCGCTCTATGTAGCGTAAACACATGAGTCTAATTGTCTAATGTTTGTATTAGATAAGGTTTAGATCCTATTGTTGCTATGGGACAGCAGCAACAACACCAACTCCGGTTTCGTTTGCGCATTCACGGGATAACGTGCGCTCGTGAGCGCGCTGCGCGCTGCTCCACCGATTACAGTCTCTGGTGAGTGGCAGTGAGTCCTGTATGGCAAAGAAGTGAAGGATGTAGTTTCACAGAGCGGGCACCTGGACGTTTGTAGCGCAGATAATTCTTTCTCCTTAAGCCAGAGGTAAGCTTATTCACATATTTTTGATGCACATAAAGGAGAACAAGACTGCTCGCTCTCGGTAACAAACATACTCCACAGCGTTGGAAGTTTTCTTTGATTACAACCGTATTTTAATGGTGAGTCTTTTATGCATATGAGAGGATAGGTTTCGTTTGACATGATCAAAGTTATATACTTTAAATGCAATACAAATAAAATGGCAAACTGCAGTGTTGTAATTTAGCCACATTTTCTCTTGTTGCACATTTCTTTCAAGACAATTTTTAACATTATTTATTGTGAGTGTGTTTCACATTTGTTTTGGGTGATTAATCGTCATGTGTGATCTTCTTTGCTATTACCAATCTCCAATTAGAACAGTTTTTTTTTTTTTTTTTTACAATTTAATCTAAACCAAGGGCTTCTGAATAAATAACTCCAATCACATTTATTTGAACAATAGGGATATGTCTTAATGAGATAAATGTCATAGATTGAAATGGTTTTTCTCTTATTTGCAGGGTAACTGGATGATGGCATGGCTATAAACAGCTGCCCAGGGGGCAGTATGAGGATCTGTCTCAACAATTTCTTCTTATCACTCCTCTATCTCCTTCCTTGTTTGGGGCAACTGCAGGAGCTAGGGTCTTCCTCCTTTCAGTTTACCGCCTCCATCTACAATGCCACTATTTATGAGAACTCTGCAGCTCGATCATATATTAGGACTGAGGTTAAAATGGGAATTGCTCTATCTAAGTTGGCCCCATTGGACATCAAATATTTAATTAAATCTGGAGACGATGAGGGGCTGTTTCAGGCTGAGGAATTTGTGCTGGGGGACTTTTGCTTTCTCCGCATACGGACTAACGGCGGGAGTTCTGCCATTCTAAACCGCGAAGTGCAGGATAATTATACATTAACAGTTAGGGCAACTGGCAAAGGCATGCTGGAGGCTTCTGTGATAGTTAATGTGCAAATTATGGATATGAACGACCTCCGACCTTTGTTCTCTCCCACTTCTTATGCCATTGATATTCCAGAAAGTACTTCATTGGGGGCAAGTGTGGCTCAGGTGACCGCCACTGATGCAGACATCGGCTCAAATGGCGAGTTTTACTATTTCTTCAAAGACGATGTGGATGAATTTGCTGTCCACCCAACCAGTGGGGTTGTATCACTCACAGCCAAGCCTAATGCAGATAGAAACCGCACATTTGCCCTTGAAGTTTTAGCAGTGGATCGTGGAATGAAGGTTTATGGGAACAGTGGTATTAGCAGTACAGCCAAAATAGTGATCAGTGTTGTGCGTATCAATGAGTTCGCACCAACGCTAAAAGCAATCGCACTTTACCCTGAAATATCAGACAAAGACCCAGTATACGCCATTGTTACTGTTGAAGATTTGGATGAGGGACCCAATGGAGAAATTGAGTGGGTTGCCATTATTGCTGGTGACCCACAGGAGCAGTTTGTCCTTGACAGAGCTCCTCTTGGAAATGAGTACAATCTGAAGATGTCGGAAACGGTCAACTGGGATAAATTTCCTTACGGTTGCAATCTCACTTTTCAAGCCAAAGACAGAGGCACACCACCAAGGTTTTCCAATGTTCAGACTGTTCAGCTCTTGGTGAAAAAACCACAGTCTGTGAAGTTGAGTTTTGAAAAGAAGATTTACAAAACCTCAGTTATCGAGATTGCACCACCAGGGACCATTATAGAGACTGTGAGGATATCTCCGAGACCGCCAGTCATCAGTTACGCCCTAAGCCTGACCTCAGATTCAATTTATTTTATCATTAATCCACTCACTGGTGTCATCTCAACAGCACAAGATTTTACCACATTAAGCCAGGATCTCTTTAATTTGACAGTGATTGAGACAGTGAGTGGCATGACGGCAAAGGTGCAAATTACGGTTGAGGATGTTAACAACAACTCCCCAATGTTTACCAGCACATCTTACACTGTTTCTGTCAATGAGAGCATCCCAATTGGCACTGTCATTCTCACTGTATCAGCGGTGGATGACGACAAAGGTGACAATGGGTGCATAACATACAGCATAGCCAGCCTTCAGCCCCTCCCGTTCATCATCAACCACAATACAGGAGAGCTGACAACATCCAAAGAACTGGATTTTGAATCATCTTTGGAGACATACGTGTTCGCCATCCGAGCCTCAGACTGGGGCTCGCCTTATAGACGAGAAAGTGAAGTCAATGTCACAGTACAAGTGTTGAACATTAATGACAACCAACCCCTTTTTGAGCGCGTGTCATGTAAAGGTACGATAGGGCGTGATTTTCCTGTGGGCCAGACGATCATCACCATGTCTGCCATTGATATTGATGAGCTTGGGCTAGTGACATATGAGATTATGTCTGGAAATGAGCAAGATGTCTTCAGTCTTAACCCAGACTCTGGGATGTTGTCATTAAGAAGACCCCTCACTGCAAAAATGGTCAACTTCAACTTGATAATAGTTGCGTCAGATTCCGAGCTGCTTTCTGAACCCACCTTTGTAAATATATCATTGGTCAGAGGCAGAATGGCAGCAAAGAGTTTTAATTGTCGAGAGACAAAAGTTGCACAAAAGTTAGCTGAGAAACTTTTGAAGAGAGCCTCCGCCATTAGCAAATCCAAAGTGGATGAAGGCTACACCGATCTGTTTTCTGTCAACAGACAGACGCCTCAGTTTGAATCATTTCCATCAGATATTGTAGTTCGTGAGGACATGCCTGTGGGAGCCAGTGTACTTCAAGTGAACACGAATGATGGTGACACAGGCTTCAATGGTCGTGTCCTGTATGCCATATCAGATGGGAACGTTGACAGCTGCTTCAATATTGACATGGAAAGTGGCCTAATTTACATTTATCAGCCGATGGACCGTGAGCGATCAGACCGGTACCTCCTTAACATAACTGTATATGACTTGGGCCTTCCACAGAAATCCAGCTGGAGATTGCTGAGAGTTAACATTGATGATGTGAATGATAACAGCCCCAAATTCTCCCTCAAGAGCTATGCTGCCGTTGTACCAGAGAACGCAGCCTTCGGCACAGAAGTGATCCAGGTCACAGCCTCAGATGATGATCTTGGTCAGAACAGTGAAATCTCATACACTTTGTTAACTAACACCCCTATGTTTGCCATTAACAGTGAGACCGGCTCTGTTTATGTGTCTAGTCGGTTGGACAGGGAGTCCATCTCTGATTTCACCCTCAAAATTCAGGCTAGAGATAAGGCAGAAAGAGGGAATCAGATGTTCTCCGAGACAACCCTGAGAGTGTACCTCGAGGATATAAATGACTGTGCCCCTATGTTTATTCCCAGGAGTTACAGTTGCCGTGTGTTGGAGGACATTCCAATAGGTGCAGTCATAGCTTGGGTGCAAACGCAAGACCTAGACATTGGATCTGGTGGATGGGTGAGATACTCCTTGTCCAATGACTTCAATGGGACATTTAAGATCCATGCTGAAAGTGGCGCTATTAAGGTGGCCAAGGACCTGGACTATGAGAATCAACAATTCTACAATATCTCAGTGCTTGCAGAGGACTTGGGTTTTCCAGTGAAACTTCGCTCTGAGTCTTATCTTGAAGTGGAAGTCATTGATGTCAATGAGAACGTCAATGAGCCATACTTCTCAGAATTTGCAGTGAGGGGAACTGTGAAGGAAAATGCTCGTCTTGGAACAAGTGTCCTCCAGGTGACTGCTCAAGATGATGACAAGGGCAGAGATGGAGTGATCAGATACTCTATCAAAGCTAGAAGTGGTCTTGGAAGGTTCTCCATTGATGATGAAACAGGTATCTATAATTTGATTCTTTATGTGCTTTTTGGTTGTGTTGTCTGCTATGTTTTATCTCTTTTGATGACGGACCAGTCCTGAGTCGATGCTTGCATATTAAAACAAAACCTGTGAAAATGGTTGTGAATTTATGCCCTAACATTTTACTGCAGTGTGCTGACTGAATGGTATTAAAAGGTCACTGTGACGTTATTTGTCTTGGCAATGAATTTGTGCTCTGAGTCTACAATTGCCTCTGAAATTTGCTGCCACTGGAGAAGACCACTGACCTAGAAAGTTAAAAGTTAATCTCTGCGTTCTTCTGCGATTTCGTACACAGTCTGTGTTTCAAAATCTGGTATGTGAGATCTGATATTTGCAATATTGAAGAAGAAAAGCTGCTCAGTTACTTGAACAACTTGTGTGGTGCCTGCTTCACTATTAATTACAGCTAATGATTATTGATTATAGAACTACAATGGGCAGTGGGATGTAACTGTGGTCCTCCATTCACATGTCAGCTAATTAGGCTGAGCCTGTTTATCAGGCCCCCGTTTAAAGTATAGCGAGTGGTGCACAATTGTGCCAGAACCTCAAATGAGCATGGATTTTCCACAGAGAATTGAATGCCCTACCAGCAGCAAAAGACA